AGAATAAAAACACTTCGAGGTAGTCAAGGTATGGTCCAAGAATCAAGAACGGGAATAACAGCTGATACACGGGATGACGAAGGAACTATTTTAGTAAGTAGTCGGCATACTTGGCACAATTATGGTTGAAATAAATATACAGGCAACAGCAAATACAATGACAGACAAACAGATTAAGTCATCTCAATAAGTATATTTCTAAAATATCGCGGTTATGGTGGTGGTAAAAGAATAGTTGGGCTATTAAGGACTAAAGTCTAGTTAACCCAATAATTTAAAGAATCCTTATAGGTAGGTATGCTAGGAAGTTTAGATACGAGGCGTTCTAACTTTTGTATTTTCACTAAAAGGTGTTTTTTTTAATTTGAGCTCTTTGATACTGAGGGTGCTTTTTAAGTTGGATATTAGCTTTTGTCTTAGATCTGCAATAAATCCAGTTAAACTAAGTAATAATAGGTATATAAAGTCATCAGCTTATTAGAGAAGAATATCTGTTTCTGTTAATTTTGTTAAATTTAATTAGGAACCCAAATTAATAATTTAAATTTAAAAATAGCATATGGCACGCCGCTGTCCTTTTTATCAAAAATGCTCCCCTCAACTCCATTTTCAAAAGTTCCCAACCATATTCTCAGAAAAAAATCCCATCATGTTCGTTCTTTAATCCGAATCCCAACCGTAATTTTCTACCAATGGTCTCCGGTAAGAGGCCGACCGATAGGCGGAAACGTTCCCTCACCACTCGAAAACGAGCCAATCATTTGGCTTTTATTCAAGTCGTGATATTCGATCGAGTAGTCCGTTCGGTTCGCCTGCTATGTAGCACTCGACCGACCTCCTCGATCCCAGGCGTTTCTGTTCTCCTGTTATCGGGGTTTATGACCTTACTTTTCTCTAATGTCGTACGAAGTGTGTTGTTGCTAGGCAACGGTTTGCGTAGCCTTGGACGCGATTACTCGCTTTAAAACGTAAAGTTCATTACACGGGCGACTATGATTAGGCTGTTTTAAGTACGCGGTCTGGCTGTCGTCATTATTCTATTTAAGCAGATAATTTATGATGGATTCTCAGAATTGTGACGTTAGTAATTTGATAACGCTTGAATTTTATTCCAATGCAGTAGGTAGGTATACAGAAAGAAATAATTGACAATATTAATATTATTCGATGATAATTGTCTACGCAAAATCATCAAAATCTAACTGTAAGGCATCCTTTCATTAATGTTCAAGTAGGTACTCAAGTACCTAGATTGAGTTTACCTCTAATTATGTCATATCCCAGTATTTTCAGTTAGAATGTCGCCAAAGCTTCAAAACACTTTTAATGGGCGGATATAAATTGCTAAACACTAGTCTATCTACATTTATAATTTTGCAAATAATCTAGGCACCTTCCAAAAATGTACATATATTTATTAATAATAAAAAAGGTCTTTATTGTTTTCATTACAACATTATTTATAATTAATATTAATAACAGTTTATTAAAGAAAACAAAAGGCGAAGTTCACTTTCAAAAGATTAAAAAACTATGAAAAAAAAAACTACGTTAACTATATTTGACTGATTACAAGTTTTTGGTATTTAACGGAGAGGAGCATTTAAATAGTAGTTAGTTGTTGCTACCTTGTTAAGAAAAATGTATTAATATTTCTAGTATTATAATTGGGACAATTAAATTGAAGGAGATTAATTATATCAGTACAGTCTATTTGACTATTAAGTATTCTGTGCATAAACATTATATCAGAAATTTGTCTTCGTGATTCTAGATTGATTAAATTTAAATTCGATAAAATTTTGTTTTCTCTTGTTTGAGGATAATATTTTTTATGGCAATAAGAAATAAATTTATTCTGAACAGATTATATCTTATCGATATGTATTAAGTAAAGAGGATTTCAAATTATTAATCCAAACATGAGAACACTACTAACGTAAGACATATCGCACCTTTAATCATAAAGTGGCACAACTAAAAAATATGCTAGTTTCGTAGAATCTGCCAAAAACTGTTTTATATTTGGAGCTGTCTTAGTATATTTGAACTTTGAGAAATTTTACGAAGTATTATGAATAAATGAAATATGAGAAAAGGTTAAGCAATATTTTAAAGATGTATGTTTGATTTAGTTTTTTTTTAAAGAAGAAAAGAAAAATAGTTTAACTGTTAATAAGAAAAAAAATTCACAATTATGTCACTTTAGTAATAAAAAGATTATGTATCAATACGAAATGTGTCAATTTATGACTAAAAATTGCATAACGATTTTAGTATCATTTTGGAATAGTTCTTTTTTGGATTATATTAATAAAATATTTCAAGTAACAAAGCAAAAAATGCCTCATTAGAAGCAAATTTGCAAAGAATGCTATTTCAAACTCTGTCACTATTGGCACACAACTAACATTATGTCGCTTTTGTTCTAAAACACCTTACAAAATCCGATAGATCTAAACTGGCGCAAATATAAATCTGCACTTCCTGGCTGACTATTTCAACGCAGGTCGGAGTTACCTCAATAAACGGTACTATTTTGGATCGTTTTATTACCAAAACTCAAAATCTCAAAATTTTGATTTATGCCACTTTATGATTAGAGGTGCGATATATAAGGCTCTGATTGTATGAAGATTTTTAAATTCGTAACTTGTTCTTAAAATAAAGCCTAATGCTTTATTTGCTTTACTAGTGCCACGGCGTGATCTACCGTCATATAATCGGGTGTTGTATTTCCACTGATTCGCTTTGTCTCTGTTAAACATAATCATTATATTGTATACCCAGACAACACACCAAATCCCAGAGATATCCACAGAATATATTTTGTGGATATCCAATATATCCACAGGATATCAGAAATATTCCGTGGAACTAATATGGATATCCAAATGTCCGTCTATATCCAGAATATAGAAGATATCCTATGGATATTCAGCAAAATATCTAATGAGTATCTCCAGACAATTCAAGAAATCCCAGATATATCCATAGAATATATTTTGTGGATATCCAACCAAATGTCCGTCTATATCCCAGGATATAGAAATTCAGATAAATATTTTATAATTATTTTTAGTAGAGGTTCATAAGTAACCAATGGTTATTGAATAACGTCGAAAGAAAATAGAGGTAAAAAATATTCCCAACAATCTGCCTTTGATTTGGCCTACTAAGGAGAAAATCATCCTTATTAGGAATCTTCAGGAATAAATGGAACTTCTCGACTTCAGTCTCTAATGAAGTCTGTTTGTGAAACAATGTCGATCAAACTCAATTACGGCGGGTTAAGCATGAGTAGATACGAAAGTGGTATCGCCATCTATACTTAGGAAGCAAAATCAAAAATTACATCTAGTAGATATCCACGATGGTTTGCGTCCGCGCTTAGACTTTGATATATTTATAGTGGATGTCCATGGGATATTGAATACACCTTAAAAAAAATTAATTTTAAATATCTCAACGGTACTATTAGCCACAATGGCGAGTACAATGGCGAGTACAATGGCGTAATTTTTTAATAATTTGCTATATAATTACAATTATTTATGGACATTTGCATGTCTATAAATTACATTTCATGGATATAAAATAGATATCCACCATGGACTGGACATTCAGTGGATATTGGGATGTTCAGTAGATATCCAAAGGATTTGTTGTGCTGTCTGGGTATCTCACTTTGTCTTACAATACTATTGTAAAATAAGGATCTTTAACTTTTCTGTTTAGTTTGACTACAGCAACTAGTGAACTAGTAAAATAAGCCTGGCAACGCCTAATTGTCTCAATACATTTTTTAATACAAACTATTTTCAACTACATTAAAACGTAACAATTGAAAGATTATAACATTTCTAACATAATGGTTACTTTATCAAGTGTTCCAAATATGCTCCATTTGTGAGTTGACAGTATCCCAATCGATGGTAGAATGGGTCTACCACATTTCTCCATGACTGTTTTATTTATTTAAGACCTTCCAGACTACATAAAATCATAAGTGTTACATATGGTTGAACTCGTATTGAATAGGAGATTCCAATAATGACTGAATATACAGAGTGACGAATTTGAAAAACCAAAGTGACTAATAATATAAGAGAAACGGCAAATCCGGCAACATTGCAAATATCAAATCTGGAATCTCCGTATTCAAAAATAGGTGTACCCCAAATTTTGTACAATTAGGATTATCAATTTACGAGATAATTAGCCGTTTCCAGACTTTTGGGCCACACCGTATTACAATATGTAAAAGCTGGAACGGAAAAAGGAAAGTACTTTTCCACTACATCTATATTTAGCAAATATAAGGCACTTGGCGGGTTAGACTCAAAGCGAACTATAATTGATCGTCTAGAAAGGACTCTAGCTGGACAAATTGGCATTGTAAGGTCCAAAAAGGCAAACGTACCTTCAGTTGTTTTGTCTCCTATTAATCAATCAATCTGAAACCGTTCACGCATATATAGAAGAAGCTTCGTCACCAAATTATACACCTATGTCAATGTCAATTAATCTTTTATATAGTAATGCGAGATTAATTATTGTTTTAGGTTGCGAAAGTAAAGTATGCTCTTGCAAAAAAATTATATTGGTTGTATTGATTTATGTATTTGTAAAAAAGTTTTTAGCTACATTTACTGTAGTTAGTCTATCGTTATTAATTTCAATACCTTAATCTTCAATAATTTTTTCACGATTACATAAAGGAGCTATATTTCGTATTAGTTAGAAATTGGTAATTATCAAAGGTAAATGGTTCCTCTTACTATATATTGACTTGAGGGGAGGATGGAGATTCCCTGGCTGCGCCACTGTGTTAGGTTCTAAATCTTGTTGTTTTTTGACAAATCTTTGTCATCGATTATCGACATTTTTAAACATTTCTCGTGTCAGATACTTATACAGTTTATATTGACAAAATTATATGTAGTCTAAATTTGTTAAAAATTTTTTCATGTCACATTTAGTATTCGAACTCATTCTTCATGCATTACAAGAAATTTCAGAAACAATCATTTTATAAGAACCACAGTTTCGCATATTCGCCGAGATATTCGCATATCAACAAGCCTTTTTTTGAAGATCGTCCAATTCCAACTAGATATTTGGAAAAGATATGTTTACCAAGAGAAAGCAAAATACGGTCGAGATCATCAAGAAGCTCAGAAGAAGACGAAAGATGTCAAGGAAAATACTTGAAACATATTTTCAATGCTCTCAAGAACAAAACTAGCACCGAATTAGCAACGTTCATCAATATTAATTCAATACCCAATGAAATAGAATACGAACTTTCTTGTATTTCGTTTTTAGATGAACCTTCTAAAAGTGTAATTCCATGTGATACTTATGAAACGTATACGGTGAATACAATAAACAAGCAAGTTGGATGTGATTGTTCTTCTGAAGATGGCATTATTTCGAACAATAGCCGTACTAGAGGTAGATTTGTTTTCAACATTTTCAAAAGGATATTTCCAACTATATATTGTTATTTTTTCGTAATAATGTCTAGAAATCGCTTTTTATTACTATCTTCTTCTTCTATATCTATACAAAGTTGGGATAAAATATGGAACCAAGCAAATATATTTAAAATGCATCTTAATGCGACTTTTTTTGATGGTACTGTATTTCCAATTTGCAATAATAAAATTAATGGTTTAGTAAACGTGAAGAGCAGTATCTTACTAATTTTTATACTCCTACCATCCATATTGGACGAATTTGGAAAAACAAGGACTCTTAAAACTTTCAGAAAAATACAGAGTATTTCCATTTAAATAAAAGAAGCTGAAGGTACTTCCGGTTAAATCGAAAGTGCAGTAACAACAAAAAAGCCACACTAAAATAATTATGCGTCATTATTGCAAAGTTTCATCAACATCATTTTCCTTTCAAAGATCTTGGTTCCATATTTAGTCCCAACCCTGTGTAAGCCATACCAATGATTGACTCATCACGAGATCTCTAAAACTTTAAGCCCGGAGTCATGCATTTTTTTACTTTCCTATCTGTATACAGATAAGGAAAGTATAGGAATCATGATTTTTTTCGACTTCGAGTTTTCGACGGATTTTTACGTTTTGGGGTCCCCTGAATCCGTTTTGACTATAAAATCAACTAATAAAAAAATACAGAGAGTTTCATTGATAAAAATATGACCTTGGTACCTATTCTATGGTTTTGGACAAATGTAATTTCTTTGGAGCCTTTATAATACTGTAGTTTCCTTTTTTTATTAACAACATGGTGATATAACTTTCTAAACAACAAAACAGTGTGCTAAGTTTCTCGTTATTTATTAAGGGTGGGAGGACATAGTAAATTTTGGTGAAGGAATACTAGCAGTTCCAAAATTTAGATTTTATATTCTTATTCGCCAGTAAAATTAGGCAATTTGAGTTATTTAAATTTTGGTGAAGGCAATATATTAATTTTTTTTCTAAAATTTAAATGATGGTGGTGTAGTATTTTCCAGTAAAAATAATGCTCAAAAGTCCAATATTTGATAAGTACATTAATATGCGTTTTAGATTGTTGTCCTTTATAATTTTTTATTGGAAATACGTATTATACAGGGTTTTTTTTTAAACATGCGGCAAAACTTCAAGGGGTTGTTCCTTGGATTATTCTAAGAATATTTTGTCCTTTGATGATTTTTTAAAATTCCGTTCCGTTTAAGAGATACGCACAACATTTTCGAGAAAACTATTTTTATTATTTTTAAAATTATTAATAGTCGAAACAAAAATAGGCACTACACTGTGTTAACCAAGAACATACAACTTTTTAAAAATTTGTTATTTTTATTATTTTTTAACAACATTCCAATTACTAAAAACGGCCTAAACAAAACGTATTTTCAAAAATCATCAAAGGACAAAATATTTTTAGAATAGTCCAAGAAATAATCCCTTGAATTTTAGCCGCATATTTAAAAAATACCCTGTATAGATCTACATAAAAAATTATTTGATTATCATTGCATTGAAACATACCCTTTAAATAATATCTACAAAACAAAAACTATTTGTTAATCTATGTTGTAGGTTCAGACCATATCGTCCCGAATTTCAGAGTTGCAGTTGGAAATGAAAAAGAATCTGAAGAAAAGGTCGATTTGAATACAAACTTGGAACCCCAAAAAAACAATTACAGTGAGGGGCAGCCATCAAATAAGAAGAAATATCATCCATACAGAGAAGTGTATGAAGAGAAAGCAGAAGAAAAGGGAGGTTTTCTAAACGCAGGTAAGAAGTAAACTATATACAGAGTGAAAGAAATGATTGCCAGTTTTCATAAAGAAATTTTAATTTTTAAAATACTTTCAGTCGGTTACAAAAACGTTGATTAAAATTTGCGAAACTGATAAACTTTGACAGATGTTTAGATTCAAATATATAGGGTATGAAACAAAATTATCAACAAAATGCATCAAATTTAGTTAGGTACATTTTATCAAATTTTTAGCCAGATGAAACTTTGCACACGTAATACCCACTCAAATGCATTTTTGTTCGGTGGGTCTGGATTTAGATTTAATTAGGACAGTGGGCCACGTGGCCTCCCCCACTTCGACCTTTTCAGATCTATTGTGGATATCTTTGAATCGTTATTTAGAGTAACCTGTCTAATTCGGTCTTTTGTAGTAGACTACATAGACTGGGAAGTAGTTCTCCGGTATAGCTAGTTGCCCTTGGTTTTTGTTCTCCAAGTGTAAGGAATCTCAGTCTTGCTAGACCTTCGCAGTAGCACAATACGTGTACTGCCGTTTCCTCCTCTTCCTGACAGAATCTGCACAAGGTCTCTTCTGTCAGACCGATATTATACATATGTTTGTTAAGCCTACAATGCCCTGTTAATAGACCTACTAGTACTCTAGTATTTTTCCTATTAAGGCTTAGTAGATGCTCGGTGAGTTTAGCCGATGGTCCTTTTATGAACTCTTTGGCCTGTCTCTGTCATGGAGAGTTTTTCCACCACTCCTGAGATTTTTTAAACATCCACTGCTTTGTGCATGTTCTGATGGTTGTTTTTGTTACACCACAGAAGGGTTCTGGGCCAATAAGAGCCTTCGGTGGGTCTAATTTAACCCCTATTGCCTCAAAGAGATACTTAGCCTCTGTCAATTTTCACAAAATCAGTGCCAGGTACTAAAAAAACCGCACTAGATTACTCAGATTTCGAACATGTAATACATACTCTAATATATTTTTGCCAGGTGATACCAATTTTCCACTCAATGCCTCCAAAAGGTGCTTTACTCTTACTAATTTTGACAAAATCAGTGACAGGTACTAGAAAAAACGCGTTAGACTACTGAAACTTCGTACACGTAATACATATTCGAATACCTTTTTTAGGTAAAACCATTTTTCCTCCCATCGCCTCCATGGGGTACTTTACTCTTGCTAATTTTGAAAAAAGCAATGCCAGGAACTAGAAAAAACGCGCTAGATCGCTGAAACTTTGTTCACGTAATACCCATTCCAGTACATTTTTGCCTGGTGGGACCAATCGCCTTCAAGGGGTACTTTGGCCCTGTCCATTTTCACATAATCAGTGCCACATATTAAAAATAACTACACCAGATTACTCAGACTTCGTATACACTCAATACACCCTCCAATACAATAATAGCACAGTTTTTATGGCAAAGCTCTATATTTTTATATAATTTTGCTATCATTCATTTTCAAATGAACTATATTGTATGAAGTTTAAGTAATCTAGTGCGTTTTTTCTGGTACCTGGCAATGTATTTTTGAAAATTTACAAGAGTAAAGAACCCCTTGGAGGCGCTGGAGGAAAAAATTGGTCATAACTTGCCAAAAGGAATATTGGGATATCTATTAAATGCTACAATTATTAGGTAACTCTTAACTAGTACTCGTTTAATACCTGGCAGCTGTCAAATTCCATTTCACAAATTAGACATACCCGTATTAATATCGATAGATATTAATAATTAACTATTTTTTATAAATAAAAATTTACATGACCCATTTGAAGAAATAACTCAGGAATAAGTTTAGACTCTAATGAAAAGTAAAAGTGTAAGAAATAAATTAGAATTGTTAGTTAGTATTATATAAATTAAATAGTAGGTACGTCTAAAATAAATTGTAAATAGTATGTGTTTTTAAATAAATAAACTAAAAATAAATTAGACTTTCGTCACATCCCTTTCTTTGGAATATTGCGTGCGGCGATAATTGAATTTAAATTAATCGAAAACTATTTATACAGGATGGCACATATTTAAAATAACATTTTTAATTGGACTTTTAAAATGTTACAGCTTCTAAGGAATCATGTTCTTCATTGAAAGTAACTGAAGTTATTTCTACAAAACGTGACTACAATTCATTGTATTTAGCAATATGTTCCTGTACTTGGGACTTCTTTTCGCATCTAATTCCAACTATAGATTTTAGAGAGCGTGTAGGGACTATTCATTTTTTCGGTCAAACAGATCATTTATAACTCTCCACATATCCCAAGAATCTGTGTAGCAGGTAATTTGAGAAGCGATATTCGTGTCCACATTAAAAAGAATAAAAGACCTGGATATTGAATGACGATATCTCCAGTCTTCACAATTAGAAACATAATTATTTTTTTCTACTGCTTGTTTATTTGGATCTTTATCAAATTCTGGAACATTTCATGAAGGCTTCATTTCTTCATTATTTACTATTTCGTACAGATTATATAAATCCATGTAAGCAAAGGCCATTGCTCGCCAGGAGTGAAAGTCAGATAATCCATGAAGTTTCTGTATCTTTAGGAACTTGTCCATATTTTATAATTTAACTGTAAAACAGTACGTGTCTAGTTTCTGTTGATTTTAACGTATTCTGGGCCCATAACCTGAAGAAATAACTCAGGAATAAGTTTAGAGACTTTGACAAAATATATATTAATAATCTTTGTTTACAATCAATGTCAATAATTGACAAAATAAAATCAATCAAACACAATAAATATACATGGTGAATAATGGAGAATTATACTGGGCAGTTTAAACAAAAATAATTCAAATATTTTTCTTTTCAGTGCTGTCCCTATTTAAAAGTAAAAAAGAAAGTAAAACTTGCAATTGCGAAATACAATTGGAACCGATATTCCGAAACAACAAATGTAAATGTTCAGAAACTGTCGTTAAATTAGAGAAACCAAATAATAAATCGAAAGACCGAAACATTAAGTGCAAATGTTCTGAAACGATAGTCAAATTGGATAAAAAGTTCGCTAAAAGCAAATTGGAAAATTTTTATATGTTAGACCGATATAAATGTGAACAATGCGGATTAATCGATCTGGATAAGTTGGACCATCGGTGTCCTAACTTGAATTTAGATGACGATGCTTTGATATCGATGCTCAAGTTGGAGGCGAATCATAATTTTAACAATCTTGGAACTATTCAACAGCAGTTAAAAGTAAGTACGAAATATTACAAATAAAAAAAAAAATAATAATAATTTTTGGTAATGAGAGTTAAAAAAATTCACAAGGGGTTAAATCGGAAAATATAAAGGAATAAAACAATTTAAATTCGTTCAATATTTTTAAAATACCAGTCTGACAGAAAACTAATGTAAGTAGTTAACTTTGATATGGGCTATTTTAATTTTTTAAATGAGCAGGGTCAATTGCCATATAAAGTTCTTTTTTCTAACCGTAATATTAAAAAAAATCCCATGTGGATCCAACATTGTGGAACATAGAGTATGAAGCGTATAAGAAAGTTTGACCAATTTTTATTAATTAAAAACAAAATTGGTCCAAAATCGTGGTAGATTCTGACCCAGGTCCATAATTTGATTTAGGAACGCTAGCTTACTTAATTTGGAAAAGTTACTTCCAAAAGAAGATGAGTACTGAAAATAATGATTTTGTTCACAAATATTCAACATTTTAATTTTACTATTTCCTTTGTTACTGTTTTAGTTGAATTGATATTAAAATAAAAATTTCATTACTATGATTTTTTTTTTATTTAATGTTAAAGTTTAAAATCCAATTATATCAACATTTTATAAATTGTAACCTATTTGGTTTTGGCGGTAAGCCGACGATAATATGTTCTAATAAGATACAAGATACAATAATATTTATGTATAAGTTTCACTATTGTATCAAAGTAATTATCGTTTTCTGATGGTGCTGACATGGTCAGCAAATAGTGAGTTCAACTAAACTTCAACTAACTCTTTGATTTCTATAAAATTCACTTTTAATTTATTATTAACTTTGGTTTATTTTTAGGACCAGATTAAAAAGATAGACGAATTACATAGAAAGTACGACAGTTTGATGAAAATCGTAAAAGATAAGTAAGCAATTTTGTTTTAATACCTCTATTACATAATTTCCATTAACGTTTTTAGTCGTTTAGACTCTATAAAATTATCACCAGGAACAATTTGAGAGATCTGTTATTATTTTCTTTAAAATATAATTTTTTCTCATTTAAGTGAATTTGTATCTCCAATGGTTCACAAAATCACAATAAGGCACATTTAATAATACCCCATTTAATTTTCCAATAGTGTTTCTACGCCACTGGCATAATATTTACATATTTTAACAATAGATAACCAACCTACTTTCATCTAATATTATTTACTATTACTGCATTTAATTTGCCAATAGTTTTTATACGCCACTGGCGTAATACATTTTGGCAATAAACATGCATTTATGACTAGTTGGCACGTGATACCGGTAACTTCTGCAGTTTTAAGCGCGTGATTCCATTCATTATGCTCTGGTATAGTATGATTGTTGTACGTGAACAGGGAGGAATTACCTTCTTCAATATTTTGTCCGAGTACTAGAACAAAATATTGAAGAAGGTGCGCCTTAAAACTGCAAAAGGTATCGTTATCATATCAAAATGCACTCTTCCAGTGTCGCAAAAATACTATGTTGGCAAATTAAATGGGTATTTGTGAATATTACTAGATGAAAGTAGGTTGTTTATCTATTTTTGTTATAATAATTCATCTATGTTTATAATTGTATTTTGTTTATTATAAAAATATGTAAATTAGGCTTGGTATCACTTACTTGAATTCTAAATCTATGAAGTTTCGTAATCCATTGATTCTGCAGAACTATCACTGGAATCGTCTTTATCGTCGGAACTTAAAGTTATGACTAAAGGTTCAACTACCGTTTCGATCATACCGTCCAAGCGCCACATATTATTTTCTTCCTTAATTACATGGGAAATAGCATTCTGCCAATCTTCAGGTTTTATACGTTCTATACCGGTTTTTAATAAATTTTGAACGTCGGCTATTTTAAAAGTTTTATTTTCTCGAGCTACAAACCCTTTCACTTGCGCCCAAATTAATTCAATAGGATTAAATTCGCAGTGATAAGGGGGAAGTCTTAGTACCGTAATACCGCGATCACGAGCCATTGTGTCGACAACATATTGAATATATTTATGGCGGTGTTCCTTTATTAGGTTCATTAATTTTACTTTAGGCATCTCCTCAGTAAATGTTATTGCTTTATCCCGCAGCCAGGTTTGCATATCCGCTTTCCTACCGGAAATTATCGGAATGCGTTCAACTCGTCGACTGTGATAAGAAGCGTTATCTAGTACAATAACCGAATTTTGTTCTACACGCTGTAATACTTCAGTAAACCATTTTTCAAAGCATTCCGCATTCATGTCCTCGTGGAAGTCTCCTGTTTTTTTCGTTATAAACACAAGAGCGCTATTTTCCAAAAATTCACTGTCACTTCCGATATAAGTAACAATTAGGCGCTGTCCTTTACCTGATGGTGTTTTCAAACCTGTAGATAATCCCTCTATACAAGCTTGACGATGACTAGTTACAGAATTATCTTGCCATATCTTAGATACCGTGTGTCCAGCATTCACCCACGTTTCATCGAGATAGTATATCCTTTTTTTAGCTGCTTTAAAATCTTTAATATTTCGTAAGTAATAAATTAAAATTGATTTCTTACACAGTTTGACAAATATATCTGACCTCTCAATTAAAATTGATTTCCTATATTGTTTGACAAAACGAAATTTTAGGTCCTATAAAATTTTTTCGTAGTTTCACGGCTCATTAATGGAATTTCTTAATTTCGTAAGTCTTGGGGCTTTGTTTTCGAAAAAAAAAAAAAAAAAAAAAGTAGTTCTTCGAATGATTTGTTTTTGGTTATCGTCCAATTTCAACAATTTTCAACCACGGGTATGCGTTTTAGGGGCTTCTAAGGAGCCTTTTTTGTCTTCGCGTACAATACGTTCATTTGTTGAAACAGATACTCCAGTTAAAACAGAACTGTGGTTTGTAGGAAGTGTCTGTTTCAGCCCATGATACACTTTCCATATAATGTTCTTTTCATCCTTTGATAAGGGCTTTCGCCGACGTAATTGGGTTTCACTTGGACCCGCCTCTAAATCCATTACTATTGTAACAATATAATTCTACTATTAAATTGTTTTTATTAAATTTATAAAGACACCAATATTTTACTATTTAATAAACTTTTAAAGTACCTACCTAATATACTACACAATAAATATAACTCCTCGAATTTGCACTATTACTTCCAAATTGTAAGGCACAAACATGAACAAATACTCGTATATAAGAAAAGAGCACTTATACAAAAAAGTGTTTATAAAATATAAAATAATTATCGTAAATAGTTAAAGCGATACAAATCTAACTTCGTCGAAAGTTAGTTTTCAACTGTCTTTGTGCCTGTGCTGACAAGATTCAATCTGTAACCCGTTCACACATTCATTTGTCATCGCCTCCAAATATTAGGGTATCATCTTACAAAATTTTACCCTCTATTGCAGAGTTAAAACTGATTTCAACTGATTTAGCGGTTTTGACTCTTTACCTGATCCACACATGGAGGGACTTTTTTTGTCTGTCTAACTAAATGAATGTAGCGATCAACGAAATTGCCAAGAACGGAGATGATACGTTTTTAAAAGCGGTATTTTTAAAACCATTAAACACAGATAACGAAGTCAATTAAAAAAATTAATTCTCTTATACAAACTATAAAAAATTCTATTTGGTGCCTAAATTTAAACAATAAGCAAATTTTAATTTCACTGTTATTCAATTATAAAACCGAGTGATCATAATTAATGCTCACTGTATATATGCTTTAGATATAATACAGGTTTGTTCCAACATAAACCAAATCAGTTTGCGTACTGTCGAGATTCTGCGCAGTCTAGAATTCGTGTTCCAACAAGCCTTAGACTCAAAACTGTACAAAAACATAGTGTTCCAACACAACCAAAACTAATCACAAACCAATTTGTGTACTGTCAAATCAGTTCCTGGGTCTGAATAGGAACGAATTGTCAAGACATTGTAATTATATTATTTGTATCTATTGTCTCGACAGTTCTGATTTGTATTTGTTTATCGAGTTTAGTTTTCATAGTTTTTAAATAAGTATTATTTTTTTTTGTTTTATTATTTTAATAGTGCATCTGTTGAACTTAAAAAATGTGTTCCAACCTTATCGAGTTCTGAGTTGAGTCCCAGTACCTGACAAGTTGTCAATTACTAGTCGTCAAAAAAAAAAAAAAAAAAAAAAAAAAAAAAATATAAAAAAAAAAAGAATTCGTCGCCTAAAATATAATTAATTGTATCACAACTGTTTTAACTGTTGTTTAATTGTTAATATGATGAAAATTTTGTACTTTTAATAGATTTTAGGTTCCTTCATTATTAATTATTGTATTGTTGTAATTTGTGAAAATTGTAAGTAGTTTTAGATTCGTTTTAATAACATTAGCTCTGGCCAATTGATCTGAGATCAAGGCCATTATACAAAACACACACACACAACAGATTGTCAACACTAAGTTTTGGACTGGTTTATGTATTGTTCCAAGATCGTTGTTGGAACAAACCTTAAATAAATAATTATTGTCGGTATTATTTCGTTTCTTTATTTTAAACAATAGTTTATTTATTAATAATTTATTTGAACACTTATTTATTTTAAAACGATACTATTCTAATTTATATATTCCAAATGGTTTACTATTTATCTTCACAACTGTTTGTATATGACTGACGCTCCATGTTCCTTCACCAATATTTCTATACACATTGAAAATTATTTCTGGTGGTGGTCTAGAATGTTCGCCAAAACTAGTAACATTATCCCGTTCGTTTTGGAATAGTAATCGAAAACGCCTTCGCCATAGTCGTCACATATCTTTAATCTTAAGGGGTTTAATTATGTATGATAATCGGATAAGTTGAGCCTCAAAGGCCAAATAAGATAGGGACTTAGAGGATTAGAGCATGACTGAATAACGAGATGGCTCGCATTACATTATTTATTATTTTTATTTATTAAATACACTGCTCTACAGGCTAAATGCCTAGTTATAGAGCAGGAAAAAAATTGTAATTACAAAAGTAAATATAAATATAACATATTGCACAATAAGACATAATTTGGATATAAGATAAATTACACAACATAACAAAACTTACACAATATAACAAAAATTACATAATATGACAAAAAATTAAATAAATTAATGACTATACACAAGCAAATAGTACCGAAACAGCTTTACAATTTTTTGAGCTGCGAAAGCTTACAAGAAAATAAATCAATTCTACCTTGCAGGTTGTTGCAGTTTTCACACATAAAATACAACGGCGAGTTTTTTAATAAATTTGTCCGAGATAGCGGGAGATAAAACATTAAGTTGTTTCGAGATTCAGTTCTTGGCACTTTAAATACAAGTTGTTCTAATAACTCGGAACAATCAATTTGGTAGTTAATAAGTTTATAGAGGAATATTAACGAATGATTTTTTCGTCTACATTCTAAGCTTTGCATTTGAAATCTATTTAGAAGTAACGTGTGATTTATCCCAATTGGTGGATATGTTCCGTCTATCTTAAATGTCAAGAATTTTAGATATCGTCTTTGAACGTTTTCAAGAGCGCTTATGTGAATATCATAAAATGGTTTCCATATTATTGAAGCATATTCTAATTTTGATTTGACAAACGCATTGTACAACATATTCATGGTTTCGATAGAATTGAGGTCAACTGCATGCCTAATGATAAATCCCAAATTTCTGAATGATGCTTTTACCACGTCATTTAGATGTTCATTAAAAGTAAGTTTTCTATCGAACTTTACCCCAAGATCTATAACAAAATCAGGCCTATTTAATATAGCACCATCCAAACAGTAGTTATAGAGAATTGGAAAATCTTTTTTGGTATATGACACTATATTACATTTTTTTGAATTTAATGGAAGATTATTTTTTAAACACCAATTATTTATTTTATTAATATTACTTTGTAATTTAAGACAATCATTTAAGATATCTACCTGATAAAAAAATTTGACATCGTCTGCATAAATTAAATATTTTACGTTAATGTCATTAATAATGTCATTTACGAATAGTATAAATAAAAGCGGTCCCAGAATCGAGCCTTGAGGTACGCCAGAGGTTACTAAGATATCGACAGACTCAAATCCACGCACTTCAACAAACTGGGTTCTGTTTGTCAAGTATGATTGAAAAAAATTTATGATGTTAACTGATATCTTTTAATAAACTTTCAGACTATCTAGAGGAGATCTGGCGGATATATCGACTGAAACTATGGGTACTAGAAACCAAAGTTCTCAGGTAATGTTTTTAACTTAGAAATTAGTTTGATTTTCAGAACTTTCACTTTAATATGTTGATAAAAGTAAAATATATTCAAGCGCTAGTCGAACCATGTATCCCGATGATATTTTATGACTTGTACACCGTTCCAAACAAGCTTCAATGTAATTTTTCTAGGACTTTAAAACCAGATTTGCAATTTATGAAAACCTTTCTTTTTTATTTACAAATGGTAGATTCATGTAACAGCCCAAAAAAATGTTGTTAATTTTATATATAAATTTGGGAAAAAACATCTTTGCCAGTAATGTATGATATTTTTCGTTATTTTCTTTAAAAGCCCATATCTTTGCTGTTTTAAAAGTTAGCATCAACAAACCAACTGATTCGGAATATACTCAACGAGACCTATAAAATGGTAAATTGCTTATTGTTGGTCGGATTTAAAATAAGCTAGATATAGCGGTTTGAACATTAAAACATTTTTTTTTACATCCTTAAGTTCACTGTTTACCAGGGCTAGAAGGCAAACTAGTACGCTATTGGGATAATAACGCTCATGCACAATGAAATCAGGGTGGGCATTATTAGTAAGGTCAGAACAAAATTGTTTTTACCTATAAATTGTTTATTTCATTCAGTTTATTACACAATTTACGGTCGTACTGTATGTTAAAATAATAACAAGAGAGGTAGTACATTTCCTTCTAAGACCAAAAAACGTTTCAATTCATTTTAGCTAACCTCTAGTTGCACTTGTCCACCGAAAAAGAAATCGAGCATATTTGTGAGACTGTTCAAAAAATCGAAATGCGATGCTAGCTGCAAATGTTGCATTACACCAATACTGGACAAATCCAAATGTAAATACTATTTAGAAAAGAAAAATTCCAAAAAGAAGAAGGAAAAGGGCAGTAAAACCAGCAGCAAAACGAGCACAGCCGATGAGAAGAAAGAGAAGAAGAAAAGAGATAAAGAGAAGAAGAAAAAAGATAAAGAGAACAAGAAGAAAGACAAGAAGTAATGTAAGTATTTAAATCGTTGCAATTATTATATAGGTAGTATCTACTAGGGGCTAAAAAAAACAAAATTAAATGACATTTGGCGAAAGAGACAAAGATTGCTATAGAATCAAATAGACTATAGTAAGATGCTGTCATATTATGTCGAATTCTAGAATATTATAATGTTTCTAAATGATGACTTGTTTTTTTTGCATTGATACTCAAAGAGTTTCTAGTCCAGTGGGTGTTCACTTTTTTCAACACTTTTATCATTTTTGTAAGTTCGGTCCAAAACTTTGAAATTGAAATTTTTAATTTCTAATACTTGTAGGATGTAGATTACGCTGTTAAAATATGACCGTCCAATTTCGGGACACCCTGTATATTGGAAATTCGAAATAATAGTTATGACGTAGCGGTGTTCTTCTAATTGTAATCGGACCCTAGGTATATGGATAAGGAAAGTGATGAATTAGAAATAGGTAAATTGTATTTATTGTATTAAAGGAACAACAAATATAAGTACAATTAAATAAATATATTAATATAACAATTTTTTAATGTCTGTATAAATTTTTTTTTTCACATAGATTATTAAATTAAAAAAATAACTATTAAAACACGAAATGTAAATTTTTTCTCTTTTACAACACAAAATATACAATACTGTTGAATCAAAATTTTCTCTTGGCAGCAGGTGGTTTTTGTGACGTGACAATTATGATGCTTTGCATCTCGTGAATTAAAGCTAATTCTCTTTCAATCTTAAGGTGATCACACCCCTTATAATTTTTGGACAAGAATATCTCAAAATATTTAAATTTTGGCAAAATAAATTAGGCAATAATATCTAGAATATGCATATATTTTAATGTTTTAATTCCTTCCAGTTTCCGAAAAAAACTAAAATGGCTTTAATTTTGAAATATCATAATAAAAATAATGCATTCCTCGACAGCACTATTCTTAATATAATCCACAAATTTAAGTTCCTAATGTCTTGTTAATGATTTCTTAAAATTCGCCAAAATTAGTGGCTAAAACCCCTCGTTAAGTGCTGCCTTCTGGTGTAACGCGCTTGTAGCTTCATAGAAAAAAAATACTGTTTTCCACTCAATTTATTAAAAAAAATGATAAATTTAATTTTTTTCTCGGAAGCTATTGGTTTTGGGAAAAAAATTCTTGAATAAAAAAAAAATTAAATAAAACAAGGATTTCAAGTTATAATTTTATTTCATAGAAAAAGTTCATCTCGAAAAAAAGTTTTGATATAAAGTAAGTGTTGCTAATTTCATCCCCCTATAACAGGAATATTGAAAAAATACCCGTTGTTAGTCCTTTGCGATTACAGAATTTCAAGTTTCTAGATTTACTGAAATTTTAGAAAAAAAAAATAAATAAAAACTCAATCATAAAATCATAAGTGTTACATATGGTTGAACTCGTATCCGAGAATAACGATCAAGGAGAAGCGACAGTAGCTGTCGGTGCCTTTGATATCGGATGTACCTTTTTCACAGCATGACTTTGATTGATACACAACTTAGCACGCTGAGAAAACATGCTCATTTTCTACACTGAGCGAAATAGTTTGGCAAATTATCTGAAACCATTGTTATAGTACATGCGCAAATGTAATGTGATTTAATTACATTGAAGTAGTTAGGGTTAATAGTAATGGTGAAGTTTCGGCACCAAAATATAATTCATTATGTAATAATTAATTATTTGTTATAAAAGTAAAAGACGTTTATTATTTCATAATTTATCTATAAAATTTGTTCAATATTTGGTTTATTTATTGTTAAAAATGTAATAAAAGCCCCATTTTTAAATTAAATTACCTTTTCCTTAAGTAAAAATAAGGTAAATAAAATTAAGGGTGCCAAAAAAAATTTAGGTAACAATTAAAAAGACATTAAGTTTGAGAGACTTAACTAAATATTTTCAAAACTTAGGTTTAAAAAGTACTTACATATTTTTAGAATTTCTGGATTTATATTATATTAAAAGGACTTTCAAGTTTATTACTTATTTCTGTATAAACAAGTGTTTTCTCGCCAAGTTAAGCCAGATGTCATTTAAGGTTTATGTATTTAGAGTTAAATACCTGGTCTGGCTATCACCCAGACAATACAAATATGTCCATTGGACGTCTATTCGATATACAATTTTGGATGTCTAGACGTCCAAAAATGAGTTTTTTCTGGACTTCCGACATCCAATGGACGTCCAGTGAAGTATACAAATGGCACACTTTTGACCATTCAGAGGACGTTCAATTCTGGAATATATTTGGACGTCGAATACTAAACATTCAAAAAACGTCCAGGATTATATTTCCATTGATACCACATCCCCACTTTTTTTACAGAACCGCAACTTACCACACACTATTTTTTATTATTAATAATTTGTTTATTATTTTCGCAAACCGCTATACACTATTTATTTTTTTTTATTAAAAATTGCTTGACCTGAGCACGAATCGAACTCACGACACATCCATTATCGTTTTACGCTTTCAATTGCTAGACGAGCTCGACCAAGGAACCACTTGAAAACTTTTTACTAGATACAGTTATAATTGAATAAGATTTCAAACTGACCAGTTATATTAAAAAAAGAAATATATATTATAGATGAGTATTATCTGGTAGGCTTAATAAATAATGACCTAAGATGGACGTCCTCTGGACGTCAAAATACTAATAAACTTAAAATTAAGTCCAAAAACAGACGTTCTCTGGGTATCGATATTCAGCTGTCAATTTAATTAGCATAAATAAAATAAAATAAACAAAATCTCCAGTTCATTTTTTATTAAATTTATTTAAAAGAAGAAAACATATATTTCACAAAATACAATACCTACATATGAAAAATAAAATGTCAAAAATGATTTAAATCATTATACTTTATATTTATGCATGCAATAAAATTCTTAGTTTCCTAATAACTTTTTTGGCACATTTTATATCTGCATTAGAATACCTAAGTGTGTAAAAATCTTCATCTTATTACTACACAAAACAAACACCAAAAAATATCACTTAACATTGCTCACGTACTAAACACAACTTGGACTGACTTTGACAGATAACATCATTTTGAGTGATACACAACTTATTTTCGCACATGCGCGTTACAAAACGGTACCCTAAAAACACCAAGCTGTCGCTTCTCCTTGATCGTTATTCTCGGCTCGTATTGAATAGGTGATTCCAATGAATATACAGGGTAATGAATTTGAAAAACCAAAGTGACTAATAATATAAGAGAAACGGCAAATCTGGCAACATTGCAAATATTAAATCTGGAATCTGCGTATCCCAAAATAGGTGTACCCCAAATTTTGTAAAATTAGGACTAGCAATTTACGAGATAATTGGCCGTTTCCAGACTTTTGGGCCACTCTGTATAAACTATATGTCATAGAAAATAAATAGCTGTTCAATTTGGGTAACATTATTTCTGATTGGCTGCCAAATGCTTTTAACTTCACTAATCTGACATTAACCATTACTGTCATCCCTGAGTCAAATTAAAATTTTAAACTGTCAAAATTACATGTAGTCCAAACTAGTAAATTAAACATATTTCATCAAACATTTAGCCCACAAAATCGACATTCATGCATTACAGTAACCTCCAGGAACATCGATTCAATCACAATCCAAGTTTCAACTATTCATACATCAGCCAGCCCTTTTTCGGAGATCATAGACCAGATGGATATTTCGAAAAAGTTCGATCAAGTAAAGATAATAAATCAAAAACGTCCAAGGGACTAGAAGGAGACGAAAAATGTCAAGGAAAATACCTGAAACATATTTTCAATGCTTTGAAAAACAAAACCAGTTCGGAATTAGCAGCTTTTATAAATTTTAATTCGGTTGTTAATGAAGTGGAATACGAACTGTCTAGCGTATCATTTTTAAACGAACCTTCGAAAAGTATCGTACCCTTTTACGATTATGAAACGTACACCGTAAATAATACTAATAAAAAAGTTGGATGTGGGGCTTTCTCGAAAGATGTCATTACTTCGAATCGCAGCCATAGCCATAGCCAAACAACAGGTATATTAATAAGAGTAATGTGAAAACAGCTATTACTAGGTCTGTTTGTGTTCTTCAAAAATACCTTAGCTTTGTTCGGCTTACCTTTAAGGACGGTTTTAAATCGTTATAATTTACGTGTTTGGGTTTTTCCAAATCTAGTTATAGGAGACACTCTAAGATTGACTATATCTTATTTTGGCTTTTTCAATAACTGTCATTAACAATCCTAGAACCTTTCTCAATGATTTCCAAGAAATCTTGCGAACTGATGATGACTGTGTTTGTAGGCATGGTAGGGTTTTAAGGGGAGGTTAGGTTGGGGCAAATTTCGTTTAGCCGATGGCAACCGTTGCCATGATAACCAATAAACAAAAACTCTAATCTCGTGGTGAGGAAATGCATAATTGCCAAGTTATAGATCATTTAATGTTCACTTTAGTTTAGACGAAATCAGTTATGGTGAAACTGTTGCCATGGAAACGCTTGACAATGTAATGACTAAACAAAAAACCAAATCCAGTGGTGAGGAAATGCATAGTTGCCAAGTTATAGATCATTTAATGTTTAGTTTAGACGAAATCAGTTATGGTGAAACTGTTGCCATGGGAACGCTTGACATAGTAACGACTAAACAAAAACCCAAATCCCGTGGTAAGGAAACGCATAGTTGGCAAATTACAGGTCATTACATTTTCACTTTAGTTTGGCTGAAATCGGTTACGGAGAAACCGTTGCCGTAGAAACACTTGTCATGGAGTTGAATAAAAAAAACCTAAATCCGGTGGTAAGGAAATGCGTAGTTGCCTCTTATATTTGGATTAACTCCTAACATATCCTAATCTAAACCAATAAGAAACAAAAAACAATAACATAAACGCAATCTAAAGTCACCATACTCTAATCGAATTGCACTCAGGAGGTCTAGCATTGGATCGATTTCCATTTTGTTGCAATATCTTCTCCATAAATACTCTCTGTTTTTGTGTAACGATTTTTTGGTATTCTCTAAGGTAAAATTTGTAAGTATCCCACTTTAAGGTTTGTGGTTCTTGCCTGATCGTCTTGGACTTCAGGGGGCAGGATTTCTTATAGGCATTGTTTATTGTGCTTTGGATAATGTTTGAGTGCTTCTCCAAAGCATTGTTATTGTTTGGTTTTCCAACAAAACCATGGAGACTACACAAGGAGCACGCACTCCATGTATAACAAGCGTACTGTGTTAAACAGAGTATTTTAAGAGGGCGCTAGTGTTCCATAAGTACCAAAATGGCATAAGAGAATGAGGCGGTAGTTTGAAATAAAATAAATAATTCTAATTAATTATTAATTAATTAATTATAACTCTAATTATATTTATTTAATTTAAAAACATTTGACACGTGTTTACGTTAATTAAATAATCGGTTACTTTATTTTCACGCTAACTTCACATTTGTTTATTCCTCTATATTCACACCGGTACAAAAGAAAAATTAGCGACGCTAGTGGTGAAAAAAGAAAGCTTTATTTATACGATAAAGCGCGGACATACTCTGGCAAATGCCACACTTGAGTGCGTGCTCCTTGTATAGTCTCCATGAAGAAAACGTAGACGTAGGCAACATCAAGTTTATTTTGAATGCTAACCAGCAGTGATCTGACATCGAAATGTCTGATAACGAAATGAAATATGCTCCAAAGCCATGTAACAACATTGTACTTTACCAAATTGCACCTGTGCCAATCCCTATCCTGAGCAAAGTGGCTAAAAAAAAATATTTTATATTCAAAAAATCACATAAGACATGACAGCGACAATTGTGTTTTCCCTGAAAATAACAATCCTAATTCATTGTAAACCTAGCTTTTAAACCTGAATTATTAATATTTTTACCTACCTTTTAAACCATATTTATATATATAAAAGGAAGAAGGATGGCATTGTATAAATCATTTGCAGAGATAGTCAATAATAATTATAAACTCTTGTCAGACAATTATTTTAAACCATAATCATAGTAGTTTTTTGTCGTTTCTATGGCAACCTGTAAAAATGAATCACAACAATAGGCATACAAATAAATTTTTAAACCAGCAAACATTGATTCATATTTTTAATGATTTTTACCTAATAATCGTGGATAGACGTTTTTGTGCAATATGAAGAGGAAGAAAATGTTTCCCTTTAACGATATATATCAAGATATATTTGAATGTAATTTTCTAGAAAACTTTAAGGGCAAACAAAATTAGCGCTGTCATGCCTTATGTGATTTTTTTAATATAAAATAATTTTTTTTAGTCACTTTGCTCAGGATTGGGATTGGCACAGGTGCCATTTGGTAAAGTACAATGTTTTTCCATGCTTTTGGAGTATATTAAATTTCGTTATCAGATGACGGTAAAAATTTGCAGTGGGCTCTTGGGCTATAAGACACTTGTCAGTTTAGAATTGATTTACAGATACCAGTTGTAGATAAAGTAATATTATTATTAAAACATATAATTTGGTACATTAGTTTCAGAAGTAACCATCACGTCATTCAGAGCTGAAATTGTAAAATCTGAAAAAAAAGTTGGACCTGATGCAAACATTAATGATGAGAAAATCCATTCAGTAAAAACTTCAAATAATGACAAGTTTCATCCTTATAGAGAAGTTTACGAAGAAAAGCCAGCAGTGAATTTTCTAAGCAGAGGTAAAAGCGTCCTAAAATTTAATTAACATTCTACAATTAATCCTGAAATTTGATACTAAGACAATTATTTCCTATTTCTCAAATATAAAAATAAAATAAACGTTTTACATAGGATATTTCAAAGTATAATGTACATATGGTTAACTGTAGGTGTGGGACATTAGGCTGATTTGAACACAAAAACATTAGGACCTCTAAAATTAAATTGGCAATTTGAAAATATCCTATTCTACACAGAAAAAATTATCATCTACATTCAAGAAAAGCTTTACACTTGGAAGATTACATTTGTTCCTTCTATCTATTTTGGCTTTAGATAGTGATACTGAAATACTTTTCTCACTTTCTGTCTCACCTTCGCTTTACTGTGTAGCTACACCTTTTTCAATCTTCTGTTAAAATTCTACTCCATGACATATTAAATTATATTTATCTCTTTTCAGTGCTTTCCATGTTTAAAAGTAAAAAAGACAGTAAAACTTGCGGCTGCGATACGTTCAACAAAGAACCCGAGGAACCAAAGACATTTGCGAAAGATCCCGATTCGTTAGAACCATTATTCCAAAATAGCAATTGCAAATGTTCTGACACGGTCATTAAAGTAGATAATAAAATTGTTCAAAACGATAACAAACCAAACAAATCCAACAAATTAAGATGTAATACTCTAAATCGATACAAATGCGAACGTTGTGGAAAAATCGATTTGGATAAATTAGACAATCGCTGTCCCAAATTAAAATTGGAAGAAGATGCGTTGATGTTTTTGTTGAAGTTGGAAGCGAGACAGAATTTTAAGCAGATCAGAAATATTCAGAAGCAGTTAAAAGTAAGTCCTGGTTATTCCGTCTGTAAGTTTTAAAATTCCATTATCGTCGTTTGAGAAATTCGTAGAAATTCGTAAAAATTCGTAAAAATTTGTAGAAATACGTACCAATACGTAGAAATTGGTAGAAACTGGTAGAAATTGGTAGAAATTGGTAGAAATTGGTAGAAATTGGTAGAAATTGGTAGAAATTGGTAGAAATTGGTAGAAATTGGTAGAAATTGGTAGAAATTGGTAGAAATTGGTAGAAATTGGTAGACATTGGTAGACATTGGTAGAAATTGGTAGAAATTGATAGAAATTGATAGAAATTGGTAGAAATTCGTAGAAATTGTTAGAAATTGTTAGAAATTCATAGAAATTCATAGAAAGTCATAGAAATTCATAGAAATTCATAGAAATTCATAGAAATTCATAGAAATTCATAGAAATTCATAGAAATTCATAGAAATTCATAGAAATTCATAGAAATTCATAGAAATTCATAGAAATTCATAGAAATTCATAGAAATTCATAGAAATTCATAGAAATTCATAGAAATTCATAGAAATTCATAGAAATTCATAGAAATTCATAGAAATTCATAGAAATTCATAGAAATTCATAGAAATTCATAGAAATTCATAGAAATTCATAGAAATTCATAGAAATTCATAGAAATTCATAGAAATTCATAGAAATTCATAGAAATTCATAGAAATTCATAGAAATTCATAGAAATTCATAGAAATTCATAGAAATTCATAGAAATTCATAGAAATTCATAGAAATTCATAGAAATTCATAGAAATTCATAGAAATTCATAGAAATTCATAGAAATTCATAGAAATTCATAGAAATTCATAGAAATTCATAGAAATTCATAGAAATTCATAGAAATTCATAGAAATTCATAGAAATTCATAGAAATTCATAGAAATTCATAGAAATTCATAGAAATTCATAGAAATTCATAGAAATTCATAGAAATTCATAGAAATTCATAGAAATTCATAGAAATTCATAGAAATTCATAGAAATTCATAGAAATTCATAGAAATTCATAGAAATTCATAGAAATTCATAGAAATTCATAGAAATTCATAGAAATTCATAGAAATTCATAGAAATTCATAGAAATTCATAGAAATTCATAGAAATTCATAGAAATTCATAGAAATTCATAGAAATTCATAGAAATTCATAGAAATTCATAGAAATTCATAGAAATTCATAGAAATTCATAGAAATTCATAGAAATTCATAGAAATTCATAGAAATTCATAGAAATTCATAGAAATTCATAGAAATTCATAGAAATTCATAGAAATTCATAGAAATTCATAGAAATTCATAGAAATTCATAGAAATTCATAGAAATTCATAGAAATTCATAGAAATTCATAGAAATTCATAGAAATTCATAGAAATTCATAGAAATTCATAGAAATTCATAGAAATTCATAGAAATTCATAGAAATTCATAGAAATTCATAGAAATTCATAGAAATTCATAGAAATTCATAGACATTCATAGAAATTCATAGAAATTCATAGACATTAATAATAAATAATGATGAGACATGCGCAGTATTACCGCAAAAAGGACCTAAGCCTAATATATCTGTTATAACTAAACCGATTCGTACGGAGTAAAAGATAATCAATGTGAAAAGTCATATATAGGTAAAATAAATAACGACAAAGGATGCGCATTTTAAAAAATGGCATTAACGTCTATCTTTGTTAGTATTGGTCAGATTTTGACTGAAAATTAAAAGGTAATGTCACATGACAAGCTAATAATGACTGTCATTTGTTGAGCAAACTGGTCTCAGTGCTAAACCGTGACATCTGCTATCTAGTAGCGAATATGTAGAATTACAAATATGACTGATAAGATGAACCGTTTAATTTTGAGCATTTGTATCTATTTAACTCAAAACCCAAGTGTTTCAAATTATTTGATCGGATTTCTGCTATTACTTGAAGGTTATGTACATGTGACAATTTTATTTTATAATTTAATGTTACGTTGTCATATCATATCAATAGGTACAAAAAACTTCTGAAGGGAAATTATTGTGGGTCAAGTCTCAAGGTTTAGCAATCAGATAAATAGCGTTTTTTTTGTTATTTAATTTATATACATTCTGTTTTTTAGGAGCAGTTTGAAAAGTTGGAAGACTTAAATAGAAAATACATAAGTTTAATGAAGATCATTTTTCCTGACAAGTAAGTACATTTAGTAAATATGCTATGTATCTATACTTAAATTCTTCGAAGAATATGGTACACACGTTAAATTCTGTATCGTGTAAAAGGCAATATCTCTTTTATTTAAAATAATAAATCAAGAACTCTTTGCAATAGAATTACAATACCCTTCTAATGATTTTTAAATACTCTAACTTTATATAAAAAAAAAACAAAAATAATTTGGAAAATTATCTATATCTTAAAAATTGAGATATATTTCATCTTGTATATTTAATTTCACCAAAAAGTAGACTAAAATTTTAATAGGTAGGTATACTTAAACATTTTTCAATTCTCAATTTGGTTTCTTTATTAATAAAATTTCCGTTTTAGGTTAACGAAAGTTGGGACGGATGTGTCAACCGATACTGTAGCTACCAGAGACAAAGAGGTTGATGCAAAAACTAAGGTAGGTATTTTGGAAAATTCCCTTTTGTATGCTCACTAATTTGCTATGATGTATTTATCAAGCCATTTGGATCACTTATACTGAAATAATATGGCCTACTTCCAGTTTTACCGGAAATGCCATTAAGTTTGATTTTTAAATATATCACCGTGTATATTTTGTCTTTGGAATCTGCCGATCAAACTGTATATGACAAGTCTTGCCAAATTTGATGATGTATTTATGGTTTCACTGACAATTAAAGCGACAGTAGATTTTTTGAGTGCGTTTTGTTCATCTTGTTTACCTATATTATATCATTTTTTCACTTTTATAAATATATTCCTAAAGTAAGTAGATAACATGCATCAAATATACAATCGTTTAGTTACCAATTACACACCTTTAAACTATTTTTTATGACCTGTAAGCAAAATTTAGAAATAAACTAAAAATAGTAAAAACGTATATGTCAAATTTATTGATGTTTTTGTTAAAAGTTTGGTTAGAATTAAATGTCAGTGGAACGAAAATGACATCACACCAAACTAGCGTATTTTTCATAAATAATTTGATCGTTTAAAAACAATTTCTTATATAAAGAAGGCCATGAACTGGAAAATGGTGCTTGGTGAACATTGTCAGATTGGTAATAAAAATTTTCTTCTAAAGACGAAATATCCCTCAATGAGTGTTCTTTAAAAAAAGTGATTTTGGAAAAAAACACGTTATAGACATTTGTTATTTGAGACTATTATAGAAAGTTAAAGATTTTATTTTAGCAAAGTATAAAATGACATTAAAACCTTTAAAAACTATAGATATAATTTCCTTGATATGGTTTAGCAAAATAATCTACGTATACTCTAAGTAAATACAAAATTACCAAATTTCTACAACGTATGCTTAAATGCAAAAACATTAATTATTAAAACACTTAAAATGAACACCAACAAAAATAATCCCACATCTATAAAAACAATTTCTAATATTTTTTTTTTTTAAATATATTTTGTAGAAAACTGATAGTTGTGTTTGTGCAACAAAAAAGAAACCGAGTTTATATAGTAGATTGTTCAAAAAATCAAAATGTGACGCTAGCTGCAAATGTTGCCTTACGCCGCGACCCGATAAAGACAAATGCAAGTTCTTCTTGGAAAAGAAAACCTCTAAAAAGAAGACCAAAGAGAAGGACAGCAAAACAAGTAAAGACAGCAAGAAAAAAGAGAAGAAAGAAAAGAAAGGGAAAAAGGAGAAGAAGTAACGTAAGCATTAAAATTGGATTGTATTTTTAACCGACTTCAAAAAAAGGAGGAGGTTCTCAATTCGTCGGAATATTTTTTTTATGTATGATCAGCTATAATTCTTTACCACGTTTTCATATCAATTTCGTTAAGGTCTGGTGATGACTTCTGCACGATTTTGATGTCAGTTTTTCATAATTACTTTTATAAATTGTCTGTTATATTTGTGTTTGATTTCCATCGTATTAAATGCTGTACTTAAGTCGGTCTTCTTTTACTACCGTTCTTAGTACCTCCCTTTCTATCTATTATGCTACTTAGGTAACAAAATCCTTTCTAATCTTCTATTATTGGCTTTTCAATCATAATTGGTTCCTTCTTCAGCTTCTATTTTAAATATTGGTGTCAGAACGTCACACACCTATATCCACATTTTTCTGTTTTATAAATATTCCCAATTATTCTTTGCATTATCTGCTGTATTTTAATGATATAGTACTTAAATAATCATTAAGAAAATTGTAGTTAAGAGAAATGCTTTCACTATCTTTGTCTTCCTTCATGGGCCCTATTCTCGAATGTCTATTAAAAATGTCGCATTCGTCATAATGTCTACTACTAATGTCTATCAAAATGTCGATCGACTGACACTATCCGTATTCTCAAAAGACAAATAGACATTTTAAAATCGGTGGACATATTTGGCGAATGGTAACATCTGACAACATTGTATAGAAAACATACAATAGGAGTATGTTACAGCAGACAATTACTTGAAGGATCTCTTAGTAATACAAAATAATACTGAAAATACGTCCCGAATATATATCTTTTTGATAAAAACTAATTGGAAAGTATAGACAATAAAATATAATCTTTTTAACTGAAATTTCATAAGGGATTTAATTAATTAGAAAATTGGAAGTTCAATTTGGTGAATAATAAGAAGAAATATATTATTATAATCGGCGGGTCCTTTTTGCCCACAAATCTCTGTTTTCTACCTGTGTAAGTAAAGGGGTGCGTTAATCTTACTGGTATTTTGCCCGCAGTAGCATTCAGGTACCTAAACCCGCAAATTTACATCCGCCCACAAATAGGTACCTACCTGATTATTAATAATTCTAATAGGTACTTACTTTGGGTGTTAACTGTTTATATTTCAGTCAGTTTTTTATACGTTGATGATTGTAATTCGAGTGTTTATAAACAATAATTATTTCTATAATGTCAGCTATATTGATTAAAAGCACACGCGGGAAAGATGTACTCCTTTTGGAGAATTTTACGTTTGCCAAAGATAGAGAAATGAAAAGTGGAGAAGTTTCTTGGAGATGCTCCCAAAGAAAAACAAATGCTTGTAATGCCACTGTATTTACAATTGGTCCTGAACTTTTAGTATCCAGAGGCAACCTAATTCATAGCCATGAAGCAAATGAACCGAAATTAAACAGGAAAATTATTTCTAATTCGTGTAAGCGAAAAGCAGTTGATGATATTTCGGAAAAACCTTCTAAAATTATCCGTAAAGTACTTGCTACTAATTTACCAGAGTCACTAACTACAATTGATGTGTCCTACATAAGAAAAAACTATATACAACAGTCGTCGCAAAATACTACCAGGTCCATTACCTACAAATATACAAGAAGTGCATGATGCAGTTGACTTATATTCTAATACATTTAAAACCAGTAAAGGTGAACATTTTCTTTTAATAAATAGCAGAGAAAATAATATTATTGTATTTACATGTGAGACAAATATTCGTACTTTGTGTAAAATGAACGTCTTGTATATGGATGGAACATTTTCGTATTGTACAAAGTTTTTCCTACAATTATTTACCATTCATGGGCTGTGTAATGGACACTATGTGCCCCTGGTATATTGTTTATTACCAAACAAATCTACCGATATATACAAACATTTGTTTTCGTTATTGCATTATAAAATTTTGGAAACTTACAGTATTGCTTTAAATCCATCTAAAGTGTTCGTTGATTTTGAAATAGCAATTCATAAGGCGTTAATTTATATGTGGCCTAATACTGTAATTAATGGCTGCCGATTTCATCTACATCAAGCGTGGTATCGTAAAATTCAGTCTCTGGGATTAATGACTGAATATACAACTAACAGTGATACCGGAAAATGGCTTAAAAACATCATTTGACATATTTAAACGCCGATGAAGTTGGAGACTGTTTTGTGTTTGACTTAATGGCAAGTAAACCAGAAAATGCCGTTCTCGATAGGTATGCCGATTACCTATTAGAAACATATATTGAAGAAAATTCTACATTTCCTCCAAGTATATGGGCAGAAAAAACAGCTTCAATTACAAGACTACAAATGCCTGTGAGTCGTTTCATTCAAGGTTTAATTCTTCATTCTACTGTACACATCCTTCTGTATATATTTTTATAGAAAAGCTTAAAGACTTTCAATCGACACGTATGTCACAATACAAAGTTTAAGTATACCTAAGAAAATCAAAGACAAAAGTGTAAAAACAAAAAATTCAGTGTTTAGAAAAATTTATACAGCGATTTGATCTGCAGCAAAATCAGCAGATTAGAGTATATAAAATTTGTATCACATTTATCCCTCCCAGTTGAAAAATATGTAAATAAAATATAAATATATAAAAAATATAATATAACTTATGTATACTTACTTTTTTTATAATAATAAAAATTAGTGTTTAATATAATTTTTAGTTTAATTAATAATGTGTTTTTACTTTTCGATAATATATAAAAAATAATAAATGAAAGATATATCTATTATGATTTATTCAGTTAGAAATAAATTTGGGCAAAATACCAACAGGATTAAGATGACCTTTTACTTGCTGTGGGCAAATTACCTATAGGATTAGCAGCTTTAAATATTTTGTGGGCAAATTATCTCCGCCCATTATAATACATTACATAAATGTCTGTGATATAATCATTTACCTGTAATTTGAAAAATAGAGCTATATAAATTTCTTAATGACAGGTATTAAATTTCTTGGACAAACAGGAGCAGTGTCGGATCGGGACTTCCAGTGCCTACCGGTCAGAATGGAGAAGGCCCACCTATCATTTTTTCATGGGCCGATTTCTTGAAGAGCAAAAAAGGGCCCTCTTTGCATATTGATGCTTTTTCCAAGGGTTATTTCGCATTTCTTATTTTCAAGGGCCCACAGACTGATGCCCCACTCACTTAGGCCCACTGAATGAGGCCCACTGACTGAGGTCCAGTGCCCGAACGAGGGCCCACGTCTGAAAGAGGGCCCACAGCTTGAACGAAGACCTACCGGTATTTTGCTAGTAGACTGACGGGCCCAATCCGACAGTGGACAGGACTAATAATTAATAAATTAGGTGAAATTATAAATAACCATTACATATATTTTTAAAAACAATTTGTACAATACTTATTTTCATTTTTCTTAGAAAATAAATATGAACTGTCACTGTCACGACCACTCATATTATAACATATTTAAAAAGTCATGCGACATTACAATGTCGACTGGTTGAATACCACTCGACCTTTATGTCTATCAACAAATGTCGAATTTGCCATTCCAGAATACGTTTTTGCGTTCTTGTTCGACATTTCTTCAATGTCGCGTATGACATCTAGAAATATACATTCGAGAATAGGGCCCCATATTCGACTTTTGTACGAGAATTACAACCACAGAAAACCCACAATAACTATCGACAAAAACTCGAGTATATTTTTGCTATGACCCACTAATGAAAATCCACAAAATTTATTTTAGGTTATTAAGACAAAATAAATAATTTTAAAATAATTTATAAATTTTACGAATTTATAAAATTAAATAAACATGAAAAAAAAATTAGTCCTCAGCCTAGATTCGAACCCGGGCTATAAGCGTGGAAGGTAGATGCTCTGTCCTCAGCTCCATCGCCACTTAGATTTAATACTCGTAATTAAATAAGTTTCATTTTAATGCATATTTAATCTCAATAACTAAAAAATATAGGTATTGACAATTAGTTTGACAGAATTGTCACTTATTTTAAAATTTTTAAATAATAGTTGGGTGTCCAAAATATGAACTGTGATTGGTGAATATCATTTTTTACAGTGTTCTCAGAATGAATATGAAATATATTCGTTCAGTTGAAGGCAATAGTATACTTTTTCGTTTTGTAATCTGTGTGTAGATAAGCTAATATCCATATGGATGTAGAAAAAAAAATATTGAAATTGAAAATTATATTTTTTTACACCCACAGGGAGTGGAGGCTCGTGGCCCAAATATTGGGGTTCACAATGACAGAATATAGATCTCAGTAAAGATTTAAGAAAAAACTTTCAGTGTTTTGCAAAGATATATTATAAACATTGAAAATTCTTTAACTAAATATGTTCTGAGATCTATAATATATCATTGTGAACCCCCAATATTTTGGTCACGAGCCGCCACTGCCCACAGAGACGTATGCTAGTGATCATAGGTTAGAGTAAAAGTTTTGAATTGGGTTATACTCTTTGCTATTTTGGTTATTTTGTTTCATAATTTATTGTTAACCGTATTTTTCTTTTTAGTTAAAAGAGGATTTAAGAACGTTTATGAACTGAATGATACTGAAAAATATGGTTGTCTGGAATTCAAAAAACCTCTCCAGTGTTGAGTCTGTGAAAGTGATCGCCAGTTGAAAAGTGAACTCATTGTTTGCTAAAATAAATATTTGATGTACTTTTAGGTGGATTATTTCTTAATTGCATAACAATTAAGCTAGTTTTTTTCACCTCTGAGTAAAGTTGAAAGTAACTACTTGCTGATTGGTCAGGTGTCGGAATTTAAAATTCTTGACATAGGAAAAACTGAAATTTAATAGGTACACTAAAAGTGATTATTAATAGACATCCGTAGATAAATTAAACGATTGTTATAGATTAATTTAATGTAGATGCCAAACAAAATAATACTGTCGTAATTTTAATAAATTCCTAATATAAATCATTAGTCATTTTCCTATATGAAAAAAACTTTTATCAAAAATAAATTTTCTCAACATTAACAAACTTCATATTTCTACAATTTTCTATATAAACGGTAATAACCGAATGCAAAGGATGTAGAAAATGGACTCGTATATTAGACGTCGAAGCACCCCTATCACAAATACCTACTTTCATCTGGAGTGACTCATACCGAAGGGGGAATGATTCACCCCTACTTTCATAAATAAATTCATCTTCAAACTGTAAGCCCAAAAGGCACAGACAGAAGTTTTGTTGCATTGCTTTTAATTATAATTTTCGTTGGGTCGCAGTAATGAAAAAATATTAACTAATTACACGCAAATAAGGGACTTAAACAATTAATTAAGCACTCAGAAAAAGACAACTATAGATATAACAACGCATCTGTATTTTTAATTTGTTTACATACATATAATTTAGAAAAGTCTTTAAATTTCTAGGAAAACCTTCATTTATTGTTTATTATTCGCGCGCATAAGCAACTAATAGAATAAATATAAATTATTATAACGTCAAATGTTAACAGTTAAAATAATATATGAAACATCAGACTAAGAAAGAGAGGGGACGAGAAACCGTGGTGTCAATTGTGTATTTTGAGCATTTTTAGAATAAAGACCGTATTATTATTGATTAAAATGGTAACTGATGGCCATATCTTACTTGACAATTATTATAGTAAATATTTTATTCGAATATAGTTTTTTAAATTATATAAACGATTGATATGTGTCAAGTGTGGAAAAAAGAAACTATCATCACATTATATCTGCTGAGAAAAATTATAAGTACAGGAAATCTGGAACACAAAGGAATTGCGTCAGTACTAATCAAACATCCTTTAGTTTCAACAATTCAAGGAAAAATATATAATTATTATGCATAGTATGCCTCGAATGATTTGACAGAAGAAGGAAATGTTACATCGACTACTTAAAATGTATACAACAGTACGTGGTGTGAAAAATATAAATCTTTGCGAATAAAATGTGCGATTATAGCTTCCCATGTCGGTTTGACATAGGTGCTACATAATCTGACTAATCAGCAGAAGTTGACACGAATATTTTATGGGGGCAAGTTTAGACATACATATATACATACATAACACCATCTTGCCAAATTTAATAAAATTTTAAGTAAAAATGTAAAAAATAAAAATGTTCAACACCTTCTATCTGGAAAACTAAAGAAATTATCACATATAACCACAAGCATTTTTTGTCATACCTACAATGGCATAAAAATACATATCAATATTAATTATTAATACATATGTTTAAATTTTAAGGTTGATTACTTTAGAAACATCCTCTATAAAATCAAATTTATTTGTTAAAATATTACATTACCTAATAATGAAAATGGAATTAATCAAAGACAACTGATTGAGCATCAGGTGACTTTTTCTGTACATTTTTTGTTAGACATCATATTTAATATACTTCCCTAAAAAAAGATACCAAAGATAAAGATACTAAAGATGCTAAAGATGCTAAAGATGCTAAAGATGCTAAAGATGCTAAAGATGCTAAAGATGCTAAAGATGCTAAAGATGCTAAAGATGCTAAAGATGCTAAAGATGCTAAAGATGCTAAAGATGGTAAAGATGGTAAAGATGGTAAAGATGTAAAGATGTAAAGATGTTAAGATGTAAAGATGTAAAGATGCAAAGGTATTCTAAAAGTACTTTAAAGATACTCTAAAGATACTCTAAAGATACTCTAAAGATACTCTAAAGATACTCTAAAGATACTCTAAAGATACTCTAAAGATACTCTAAAGATACTCTAAAGATACTCTAAAGATACTCTAAAGATACTCTAAAGATACTCTAAAGATACTCTAAAGATACTCTAAAGATACTCTAAAGATACTCTAAAGATACTCTAAAGATACTCTAAAGATACTCTAAAGATACTCTAAAGATACTCTAAAGATACTCTAAAGATACTCTAAAGATACTCTAAAGATACTCTAAAGGTACACTAAAGATGTTAAAGAGATAAAGATATTAAAAATAATATACTGAAGATATATTCTAAAAATAAGAATAAGAAACGAAGAAATTGGACAGTAAATAAATAAAAATAAAGTAAAATAAATTATAAAAAATAGACAGTAGGTATATAACTTCGGAATAGATAACAAACCCGGTAAATATGTATTTTGTTGCGTCTTTAGCTTCTCTTATTTTGCTATGTTACAATTAGATCATAGATTTTTTTATTATAGTTAACAAATATTTATTTCAATTTTAAACATTTTCACTTTATTTTACATTTTCGACCAGTCCGGTCCTGCTCTACGTTTGCGTTATCGCCGGTCGAGGGAATCGTTCAGCCGCCTACGTGAAATTTCAGCAAATTATCAGACGCGATGCCAAATATTTACTAAAGACCAGTGGTTCTCAAACGTTTTTGGTGATGGAAACTTTTTGAACAGCGAACTATTTGACAGAGCCCTAAACACATTTCTAGAAAAAAAGGTCCTTCGAGCTAAATCCTCTAGCCAGGTCCCTCCCTTTTTTCGCGGAGCCCCCCCAAAAGTCCTCAAAAATCAGTCCCTTCTTCCTCTTACTAACTTCTAAAAAATAGTATCCGAACTAATAAAGTTAGCACTATGCGATTTTAACAGTTTTAAATTTAATAAAGTACTATTTAGAAAATATACCCTTGGGTTATATTGGAATAATGGCACACCCGGTACCTATATTTCTAATTGAAATACTGATAACTTGATTTATTTCATAAAAGTTAGATATATTTAAAACTTTTTGTAAACCTATTAGAAATCGAAATATTAGCAGGGTACGTTACTTTTTTGTAAACACTGTATGCCTATGTATCTAGAACAAATTTACTAATTGAGTTGCATATACACTTTTTTCGAAATAATTATAAATTATAGGTACCTATACATGTTTTTATTAATTTTGTTCAAAAAACTCCATACATATTATTGCAGCTACGTAAATTGTTTTAAAAACCACATTGTTTTCACCTTTTTACTGCTACTTATTAATTGCAAAACAGTATTATTTTTATCTACTTATCAACGTTCATAAATGCAATTTCTGAATTTCTCCTAAATCCTCAACGTAACTCCGCCACTGCTTACAGTAATTTCTAATAATGGGTCCAATAAATCGTAATGTATTACCCACTTGGCAACACTGCAGAGAGATAATAAGCATGTGTTGACCGTGAGGAAGCCCGTCAACATTTTTTTTCCTCACCATTTGGTTTTTTAAAACCTCTCGCGCCATCTACTCATGAGGGGCGTAACTAACCTTTATTCTAGATATATTCCGAAGCAAATTGCATAGTTTTTATTTCACCCATCAGATGTCAGAATCTGTCATAAATCATTGGCGACAAAGAATTTACTGCAGTATTTTGGCGGAGTAGTGATTATTTGAGGTATTTTTTTATAAAAATATAAAGAAAAGTAGGTAGGTATTAGACAGGAAAAACATATGAATACTTACGTACTTTGGGGGAAAAATTATTAAGGGCGTGCATTGGAACAGAGAAGTCTGAACAAGTCCTCCCAGAGAGAGACAAAATAAAGTTATCCGAGAGGTGCTGCCTCTAGTTAGCAACTAAGTAACAAATATACGTTCTGCATTTTCGCATTTGCGAATAAAAATGTATTCTTTTAAACTCGCAGGTACGGGCTTTTGTATGGTATAGATTGAAATTTTTTTGACTTTGCCTCCCACTTCGGTGTCACAAGCTGAATTTTTCAGGAATGAAAGTACATGATAAGCTTACCCTTATTCCGGAGGTAATACAAAATTAGACAGTGCAAAAGGACACTATCATAAAAAATCGAGTTATTGATACCACCATATAGAAAAAAAAAATGCTTATTTTTTTGTTGTAATGCACAATAAGGTCTTTGTAGGAAGTATTTTTTTATAATTATTTAAAAAAAATCATTTGCATTAGCCCTTATGGTCGAACAGGATATTGTTCTAGTTGGATAGAAGGATGGACTAAAAATGGCGGCCGTATCTGACATTTAACAACGTGTTAGTAAATCATGCTTTTTATAATAATACAGAAAAATTACAAGGAAATTGTAATATAATTATCAACAGCAATGTTGTAAGAATGAATTTAACATAAACCTATTCCATAATAACTATTCATAATTTCACATTATCATTAAAAACTTTAAGTTTTATTGCAAGGATTAGGTAATAAGCAAATTATGTTCAATAAATTCTACCTGTTACGATGAGCATAGTTGACTCACCTGGTTTTTATTTTAAAACAGAGTACGCAATATATATGTATTCAATTTTTACTTTCCTATCTGTATACAGATATAAGGAAACTATAGGAATCATGATTTTTTTCGACCTCGAGTTTTCGACGGATTTTTACGTTTTGAGGTCCCCTGAATCCGTTTTGACTATTTTCGAGATGATGTCTGTGTGTGTGTCTGTGTGTGTGTCGCATTACTCATGAACCAATACACAGAAAAACACCAAATTTTAAACTTAAGCTTTGTTCCAGCGTCCAATGAGCTGATTAGATTTTGGACAGAGTCGGAACATCTGGGGGGGTACTTAATAGGTGGTCATTTTTATATTTTATGGAATATATCTGTTATTTACGTTTGGGGAAGAAAATTCTTCAAATAAAAGTTACTTCTTATATTATTATCTAAAATGTTTGTTTTATACAAAATTTTCCTAAAATGGTCCGTATTCCAGAAATTTGACAAAATGTAAAAAAATATTTTTTTATAACAATTGTT